CTTGTATGCAAACTATATTTTTTGCGCAAAAAACATATGATTACAGACCCAGACTTCCTGGCCTGAGCCTGAATAGAATGAAACATTAGGAGGACCGCTAGAGGGAATACAATACAGATAATAACTCGCATGCCCAAAAACTTTGGTACACATTGGATCAATCAAATTTGAATCCCTAATCAAGACTGGCACCCAAGACCAGCACCTGCGACCGGTACTCAAGACTAGCACCCAGATTATAACTCCAAGAAAATATAATAATACAATCCGATAACCCCCAAGAAATATAATCATGTAATCTGATAACCTCAAGGAAATATAATCATATATTCTGATAACCTCAAGAAAGTATAAATCATATAGTCTAAGATAAGTCGAAGAAAATATTAAATCATATAATATGTACATATTATATGATTTAATATTTTCTTCGACTGGTTTGTTAGTAAAATGTGATTCTGAACATTTTTTATTAAATTTTAATTTTTAATTTAACATTATTAAAAATTAAAAAGCAAAAAAAATTAAAATTTTAATTAAAAAAATGCTTAGAGGTCCTTTTATTATCAAAATACTTTTTTCTTTTTTTTAATATTTATAAAAATCATTACTTATATCAAATCTTACTGATTTTCACTTATATTTATACCAATTTTTTATATTTAGATATTTTTCTTAATTACAAAATATTACAAAATATGTCTTAAATAAAACTATAATTGTAAAAAACTATATAAATAAAAACTACATTTATAAAATTATTTTTTACATTAAATTAATTATTACTTGATCATATAATTCCATTATTTAAATTAATATTTTATTACTATTGTGTCATGTAATATTAGCAATTTTAGGGTTAGTGATGTTTTCGTAATTGATATTCCTAATTTCTTAATGTCTCCTTACATATTTTTACGCAGCTTTTTACTGCGGCCAGGTTTAGGGGCTTTTCGGATAGGTATTATATTTTTATTGGCTCGGAGGTTAATGGTATGATTACCTCGAGCATAAATTTACGGATAATCAACAAAAAAAAAGCGATCTTTTATCTTCTCTTTTTTTTTAAAAAAACAAATTATTTTTAAGATTGGATATTTGGCTGGCTATCAATTACGTCAGTATCTTGTGACAATTATCCATATAAAAAAACAAAAGGATCACTTTTTCTATCCGATTTACTTTGTCGGATTAAATTTTTCTCATTTTTTTTTTTTTTTTTTTTTTTTTTTGTTATGATAATTTCTCGAATAATTAATATTTATATATGAGATATAAAAAATGATTCGCCCAATTTTAACGTCACAATTTTCACATAGGATTTCAAAGCATATAACAGCATTACATCCCCCAAAATTAAAATCCTTACCTCATAAATCGTCAGCATTACCATATCTTTCACGTAAATTAACTTCAACAACGTCAACACCCCCGAGTTCTCTAGGTGGACTTTTAGATGAGATTCCTTTAAATGCCGAATATTTTAATTATCCTAGATTAACAGCACGACAGACGGCATTGAGAATCACGCCGCCGAGAGAATCTCAAATGCTTGTACGAGATTTTATTGATGATTCTTTATATAATCCTAATTATGGTTATTTTTCAAAACAAGCCATGATATTTTCACCACAAAATGATTTTGATTTTAATGGTATTAAAGATAATTTGGAATTTATGAATTTAGTGGGAAGCAAATATCTGGAGTTTGAGAATGGTTTCGAATTAAAAGATAAAAACTCAGCGAAACAAATTTGGCATACTTCAACCGAATTGTTTAAGGTAAATTAGTTGAGAGCGTTAATATTGGATTTTATTTAATGACATTTATTCTCTTGACAAAAAAAAAATTTTTTTTTTGTTGATAAAGCCATGGTACGGGTATGCATTTGCCAAATATATCGTCACCGAATATAAATTGAATGGAAACCCGCAGCATGATTTAATCATTTATGAACTTGGAGCTGGAAATGGAACTCTAATGTTAAACGTTTTGGATTATATTCAGAAATTTGAACCAGCAATCTATAAAAAGACGAAATATCGTATTGTGGAAATTAGTATAAAATTAGCCGAAAAACAGAGACAAATTCAAGATTTTCGAAAAATTGCCAATGGTCATAATTGTATAGAGATTATTAATAAGAACATTTTTGATTGGGATGAACCTGTAAATGAGCCTTGCTTCTTCTTGGCTTGTGAAGTTCTGGTAAGTTTTCGATTTTTTTTTTTTTTTGAATCGAAATGTAATTTTATTAATTAAAAATTAAAATTGTCAGGATAATTTTGCACATGATGTGATTCGTTATGAATTTTTGACTGAAAAGCCAGTGCAAGGTGTTGTTGTAACGAATGAAAAAGGAGAATATGAGGAAATATATGAACCCGTCAATGATCCTCTTATTATGCGTTATTTATCTTTACGAAACAAGACAACGTACAAAACACCAGCGCTTCAAAGACGCTTATATCGCAAAATGCGAAATAAACTCCCTTTAGCGCCTAATCTTACACAACCAGAGTTCATACCTACAAAAATGTTACTCTTTCTTGATGTTTTGAAAGATTATTTTCCACAACATCGTTTGGTTATTTCAGACTTTTATAAATTACCGGATTCTATTCAAGGTATTGATGCTCCAGTAGTTCAAACAAGATATCAAAATACAATGGTTCCTTGTTCAACTTATATGGTACATCCTGGATGGTTTGACATTTTCTTTCCAACGAATTTCGAGTTATTGAAAGACATTTATCAATTAGTTTGTCGTTCTAGTCGAGCAGAATCTGAAAAGGTTAAGGTACTGCTGCAGAAAGAATTTTTGAAAAGATATGCTGAATTAGCTAGAACACAAACTAAAAGTGGAGAAAATCCAATTTTAATGTATTATGAAAATGTAAAATTTTTATTAAGTTGAGGATAAAGATTTGTTGGAAATTATATATAATTTATTTTAATTTTTTTAATTTCGTTTTTTTATCCTATTTTTTTTTTTTTTTGTAATATCAGTTTTAGATTACAAAACAAAAAAATTCTTTCCTTTTTTATTTGAACAGGAAACATTTTTGTTATAACAACATGTGGTCGCATATATATATATATATATTATCCTTACAAAATACAATACCTAATAACACTCATAATAAACTTCACGTAAAAAAATTTCTCTTACAGTTGGAAATAAAATTACATGTATGATAGATCCAATTTATAAAATCAAATGCTTATTTATATTTTTTTATTTCATATCAACAAAATTTGTTTACTTATTGTCACGAAGTCACGTAAGAAATTCACTTTTATAGATTTTACTGGATTAATGAAATGTTCTGTAATATAATATTATCATTATTATTATTATTTTAAAATAAAAGAAAAAAAAGGGGAGTATTGCTTTAGAGACCTCGATACATGCTTGTTTTAAGATCTGTACACCAAGAAATTATTTTGGGCATAGTTAAAATTCAAACCACAGCCAGTATTTTATTAAAACTTCGTGTATATTTCTTATACTTATGGAGATGCACTTAATATTGTTGACATTGGTGTCGCTGAACTCAAGCAACCCATTATATATTGTCAATCTTTCCTAATATTATGGAATAGAGACCTTTTTCCTTTGATATATAATATCAATTTTCAGTAGAGGATTCTTATTCAAATTCTCGATTTTTAGTCCAATGGTAAAACATTCTTTATTATATTGAATTTTGACGTAACTAATAAAAATCAGCAAAGCTAAATTACTAGACTAATTCTCACTTATGCATTATGTTAAATCGAAATATCCATAGATACTAATTTATTGAAAAGCCCAGAGAAGCAAAAGTAAATTCTTGGTTCAATCTAGACCTAAATGACGGTTTACTGAGACTATTTACATCAAAGTAAACACATCGTTATACCTAAAAAAAAAAAAAAAACTGACCTATTTATTATATATGTTAATTGACTAAATCATTCTTTGGTTTATAATTGAGAAAGGTTATATGAGAATAGTGCATTTCCCTATTAATTATGAATAAATTGGCTAGTTCGCAAAGGCATTTCCATTATAAAGTGGCGTTTTCCACCTTTCTACTCAAAAAGTAAATTAAAGTTCAATAAGTAAACACGTTCATTACATCTTTTGATCGGTTATACGACGCGAAGAGAACATGTTATCATATAATGAACTTTTTTAAGAAAAATGGATTATTTAAATTGTCGTTATATAACAGTTCACATATCACTAAATGCAATGATGTAATAAGAACACCAAATTTTATATTTTCACATCTACTTTAGCATCTAATGGTTTCAATTTTGACCTGACTTTCACGAGTAGAACCAACTTCAATTATTGATAATAAGACCAATTTAGATTTGTACGACCACGCGTAATCATACCCCCATATCATTCCATCCATCTAATAAATTTCGATTTAAATTAAGAAGGGAACTAAAATTTATAAAGTCTTGACACCTAATATTTATATAATAATATATTTTTTTAAATTGTAGGAATAATAAAGCTTTCTAATGTGGATTTCTTCCACTTGAAATTCATCACGATTTCTCTTAATTGTTTTTTTCTCCCACGGTAATCAAGTCTTTTAACGGAATGGAAATCTTTTTTTCCTTCTTTTAACTTTAACTACAAAATGATGTGAATTTCTGTTACTTTAACACATGTATAGAACCGAATAGGAAAGCGATTTGTTTATGTACATGCGTACTTCGCTTACACCTTATATATAGTATTGATCCGCACGGAAAAATTTTTAGAATTTTTTGATTTAGATATGGCTAAAATTTCTTTCACAAGATCGACTATTTTCAATATTAAAAGAAGAAAAAAGGTAGAAAACTATTACCCACGTATTAACGGTCGTTTCACAACATGAGACATTATAAATTTTCGACTTTTTGACTTAACCTTTAACATATTACTCATTTCAATCTCTCTCTCTGTTTTCTTTTTTTTTTTTCTAAACCTTTTTTTTGATAATAATAAAAGATGACTACATCACATTTAAATGATGACTGCATCTTTTACATTCTAAAATTCCTTCAAAACGATCGTTCAACACTTTTTAAATGTTTACAGGCAAATAGATTTTGGTGCGAAATCACAATCCCTTTGCTTTATGCAAATCCTTTTGCAAGGTTAAAAGATGATAAGAAATATTTAATCATCAAAACCTTTCTTTCATGTTTAAATGAAAATGAAACATCATACTTGTTAAGATTGAATGATGATTATAAAATACCAAATCTAAAAGATTTAATCATCAATGATGTCCGACCCATTTTTGAATATCCTAAACATATTAAACAACTTTTAACAGGTGAATTGCAAAGTGCGATTGGTCAGTGGACTAATAGATATATTGATAAAAAATCCATTCTAATTTATGATTTATTACAATCATTAACCGAAGTTTTTTATCATATGTTTTTGAGACAAGGTGTTCATCTTAATCATTTGGAAATTTATCCAACTATCTTTAAAGCTGAAATATTTGATCATCTACTCATTCCAAACCTTTTTAAATTATCCACATTAACTTTATCAACTTGTGATGATACATCGGAGTTTAAGAGGGGAAATATCTCGGATTTCTTGAAGATCGTCGCAAAGAATTGTAAAAGTATCAATCAATTAAATTTAAAACAACCAGAAGTTTATAATTCAAATGAGTTGGCATCGATCATCAAAAGACAAAAGGAATTAAAGGAATTCATTTTCACTCATTCCAAGAATGTGTTTAAAAATATTTTCTCCTCATTAGAATTTCAAAAACATTCCTTGGTTACTTTAAAATTTCGTTACGTCAATTTTCATAAATTTATCCTACAAAGCATAATCAATTTATATAATTTAAAGGGGTTAGAAATTAATTCTTGTCATGGAATGACGTTGGAAATTTGTAAAATATTTCATCTCGCTAATTTTAAACTTAAAGAATTAATCATATTGGGTAATAATTGGGAAACAAATATAACCATAACAATCATTAAATATTTAGGTATATCATTACAACAGTTAAGGATCATCAAAATTACGATGGAACTTATGGAAATAATTTCTCAATATTGTATAAATCTTGTTACTTTATATATTTCTTTAGAGTATAATATCAATCCATCAATATTTCCTTATTTTAAAAATTTAAAAATCAAAAATCTCAATATCATGCCTCAATATATAAGCTCTGAAGATGGTGAATTAATAACTTTAGATTTAGATAAATTGGCGACGAATTTTTCAAAGGATGTAATTAAAGTTTCTTTATTTTCATGTCGATTTATGAAAAAAGAAATTTTGTCAAGTTTTGTAAATAGTTGTCCTAATCATATCATTACTTTGAATTTGAGGAAAAAACTTGATACGGAATATCTTGAAATCATTTTAAATTATATCAAGAAAAAAAATAATAATTTGAAATTTTTAGGATGCTTTGGGTTGGATAAAATTCCAAGTAATGAAGAATTGGAAATGATTAATCAAATTAAAGAAAAAGGAATCAAGTTGGTTGAATTTAATGAGATTTTATAATCGGTCAATCTTTAAATTCCATTCCATTACTTTGCCCAAAAATCATCGTTGACATCTGACAACAAGTCGAATATTAAATTTTCTTCTCTTGCTTTTTATAATGAATGGATTTTTGAAATTCCAGTCAAAAATTCTATATTTTTAAATATGAACAAATGAACCGGGTTTTTTTTTTATCAAGTTTCAATTTACCTTTATATGATTTATATTCATCATTTTTAACCGTTTAAGGTTCCCTTCCATCTGTATTTTACTGAAAAAAAACATTATCATTTTCAATTGTAAAAATAATTTGATTATTTAATTCTAAAATATGATATTCTAAAAGATAAATAAATTAAATTAATATCCAGCCGCAATTCCATGTTTTCTGTAATCACTTGCGGCTATAAAAATTGAAGAATTTTATAAATTAATAAATCAATGTACGGTACATACTTTTTTAACGTTTAAAATATTATTACTTACCATTAACTAGTCCATTAGGTAACCTCATTACAGCTTGAATTTCTGATGCTCCTTTATAATAATCTATAAAAGTTATCTAAATAAGGACCAAAAAGAAAAGAAAATTAGAATTCGTTTAACTAAAAAGATTAAATGATGAATAAAATATATTAATATATAATAAAAACCGAATGATTTCTTTTTCTAAGTTCCTCCATTAATTTCTCGGAATATCCAGTTTCGATTGACACCTAAATTAAAAACAAGAATAATTAAAAAAATTAAATAATAGAAAAAAATATTTTTTTTTTTAATTGAAATACTGACTTCGTTTGGAAGCAATTGATGATGTACTCTAGGTGCATCAATGGATTTTAAAATATCTTTTTCGAATTCATACACACTCAATAACACCTATATAATATGTCTGATAAGTAAATTCCTTTTTTTTTTAATCCATAAATATTTAGAATCCATACTACTTACCTGAAGCATCGAAGAAAGGATTCTAGAACCTCCACTACCACCAATTGCCATTTCGAATTCTCCATTATTTTCAATTATGACTGGGACACATGAAGACAAAGGTTTCTTTTTAGGTTCTTAATAAAACAAATTATTTATTACAGACTGGTTCGTATATTGTAAATATGGAAAAAAAGGTAATTACGATTAAAAAACTCACGAATGAAGTTATACGGAGAAGGCCTTAAGCCAAAATGATTTGGAACACCAGGTATAGAAAAGTCATCCATTTGATTATTAAATAAAATACCGGTTTCCGAATCCAAGACTCTTGATCCCCAAACTAAATTAACCTTTCAATGGATAACAAGAGTTAGAAACATATTTTTCCTAAATAATGAGGAGGAACTCATTTTTTCGGACTAATTACCGTTGAAGTCAAAGATACCGCTTGATTATATTTATCAACAACTGAAACATGTGTAGTTCCATGATCTTCTAACACATCATATATTGGATTATAATATGACGGTTCGAAAGTTATCGACTTTAACAAAAAAAAAAAATTACGCCAAATTATTATCTTATTTGAATTAATGTTTAAACATTATAAATATTATGAAACATACGTCTGATATGTTCTTTCTTATTTTAGCCGCAAAATCCTTGGTCATTATTTCCTTAATACGCTCTGTGTTATTTGTCTAGGAATATAAACATTTAGTTTTAGTTAAGGGGAACGATAATTTTCTTTGCTCATTTCTAATACTTACAAAAGATGGATCGCCCATTTCAGTACGCAAAGCAAATCCGACTAGATATAATAATAATAATAAATTAATCAAATGACAATCATCTAATTTTAAAATTAAAAATTTTATAAAAAAACATACACTTAAGAGTCTCTATTATTCTAAAATATACAATAAGGAAAAAGCATTAATAAAAAGTCAAATACTGTATAATGAAATAATTTAAATAATAATTACCTGTGCAAATTCTTTCCATTAAGGCCTTCCCTTGACAACTGATAACCTTCTAATATATTTAACATACTCAACAAAACAGGTCCACCAGATGGAGTATTTAACGTCAAAACCTATATTGGTAAATTAATTTTAAATTAGGCAAGAAGGTTTTGTAAAAAAACCTAATAAGGATAAAACATTAACTAACCTTTCGTCCGTGATAATATCCATGAATAGGTTTCGATATGACTGGTTTAAAAGTTGCTAAATCTTCATGTGTCATGATCCCACCAGCAGATCGAATAGCTTTTATAATGGAATTAGCAATCAATCCCTAAAAAGAAAAAAAAAAAATGAAACAAAGTTTCTTCAAAAAAAAAAGGTTCTTTAATTATAATTACTTTGTAAAATACTTCAGATCCATTATTAGCTATTAATTCCAAAGTTTTAGAAAAATTTGAACGTTTTAGTAGATCTCCCTCATCCAACAATATCCCATTTGGTGCATAAATAGCAGCCAAATCAAGTGTTCCCTCAATAACTTCTTTGAAAGTCTAAATCAATTAATTAAACAATAACGTCATGAAAATTTAAATCGATATAATTCAGCACTTATAGTATTTAACATTAATACCTTCATACGCTTAGATAACTCAGCCGGTATTTTGAATCCATCACGACTTAATTTAATTGAGGGTTCAAATAGACGTTTCCAAGGTAATTTTCCGTATCTAAAATTTATTCAAATTAACGTTTTAATATTGCACATCTAGATAAAAATCGGCACAGCTGACGACGAATGAAGAACCCTACTTTTTATGTGCGTATTCAATTCCAAGAATCTCACCACTAATAAAAATGACATTGGTTAATAAATCTTTTTTTTTTATACAAGAAAATATAGTTTATTACTTACGGAACACCAACGGCAAGTCCACCAAATTTAGCGAGTTCCGGATTATCTTTATACATACTTTTATTGGTAGCGGCGGGTGCAATTTCTCGAAAATCAATAGTTTCGTATGTTCCATCAGAATCACGGATTATCATAAATCCTCCTCTATAAGAAAAGGATTATGGAACAATTAATTAATTATCATGTAAAAGAGCCGAATTAACATCAATATGAGTTCCTACCCTCCAATACCGGCCGAAAAAGCATTTATCGTACCAACGCATAGTTCTGCAGCTATAGCAGCATCAACAGCAGAACCCCCTTCTTTAAGAACTATAATATCAAACAGTTTTGATCAAAATAAAATTTTACGTAAATATTAACGTTAAACCATTTTGACTTACTTTCAACACCAATGTTAGAACAATCTTGCTGCTCTGCTGAAACCGCTCCATTACGTGCAATTACGAGCTTAGAGTCACTAGGAATAGGAATAGCTGAAAAATTTGTACACGTGATCAATAAATTATGCTTTCGTCACGGCCCGTGTCACACACTAGTGAATGACAAAAAATATTTTACCTGACCCAATAATGATGATGAAAACTAAAATCAATCCAATAAAAATAACAAATATTAAAGTTTTGATGGATTTCCACCATCTTGGTGATTTTGATTCATTGGAATATGAACGAAAATTTGGCAAATTTGATAATAAGCCTTGGGATTCCGTTCCTCTTTCCAATAAAGGTGATGATCTATCAGCCATGATATTTATTTTACGGGAAAATGAACTTCATTTTACTTCAAATGGAGGAGCATTATATAGTTTTTCTTTTTCTCATAGATTTCACAAACTTCTAAATTAGTAATTCAGAATCATTTCCTAAATCAGGAATATTATAAAATATATTGAGTGTTTGATATTAATACACAACCTTAAATCAGATGTCATTTGACGATCTCCTTCCGTATTAAGCTTCAAAACTTGGTTTTGCGCAATAGTAATTCCAAATGATGAAATTTTTTTTCCCGATTCATTTATGTCAAATGATCAATAAACATTGTCATTAGTAAGATTACACCTAAGCTCTAACCCTAACCCTAACTAATATCAATTATATCAGCCAATCAGAGCCTGGGGGTAAAAAAGTAGTAATACTGACGATCCTTTTTATTTTTGTATCACCCAAATTATGTCAACTAATTAATAAAAAAATAATTTTAAACAAATAATTTGTCAAATCAATCATTGACTTCATCGACTTCCTATATTAAGGTTAATTTTCAATTATAGTAGAAACTATTGCTTTAAAAAGCAAATTTCCTATGTAGCAATGAATAATTAGATGCTAATTTAAAAATCGTCAAAGGCCTTTGACCGATCATTAAATATAATTTAACGAGCAATTTTTTAAACTTCTTTATATAGATTTTTTATGTTTTTTTATTCACTTGATATCACATTAAGTTTTACCTTTCATGTTTAGTGATGCGAACTTTTTTTTTTTTTAAAAAAAAAAATAACATTTACTAATCGGTCAAATTCGGCGAATACCAACTTAAAATTTATGTTTGAAATCATTTCATCTTTAATATCATAAAGGAATGAAACTTCTATTGAAGAAAATTAATATCAAAACATTTAAAAATTACCAATCCATTGATAAAAAATTATTATTACTGGTTGTATTGATATAAATTTTCATATTCATTACTTCTAGTATTTCCAGCTGTCAAATTATAATTAACTCCTCCTACGTTAGCTCCACATTCCGGACAATGACTTGCTTGGTTTGCTAATCCACAGTTTGCAATCGCATACTAAATAAAATTATTAAAGAAAAAATAAAATAAAATAAAAAAAAAAATACTTTTCCATTAATGAATATTTTTTACTTACTGTATGACCATTTGGACATTGATACCAATGACCTAATATTACAAAGAATTAAAGATCAAAACAATTCATCAAATTTACAGTATATACAAAATAAAAATTTTTTTTGTCAAAAAGAAAAAAAAAGTTTACCTGAACCTTGAAGTTCAATGTTCATCGCTCTGAAGATTTCTAACTTTTCCGATCTCAAAATAGTTTTGCCTCTACAATTTTCCAATTCATTAACATCTTTAGATATCTGTTTCATTCGTGAAATAAACTGTTTTTGGATATATTCCCCATCAATTAATCCAATTAAATTCTGTAAACTTGTAAATCTTTGTTGAATATCTTCACAAAGACTCGAAACAGATTTCTTTATCCTTGTTGCTTGCTCTGAAGCTGATTTGTTAGAATCTATAATTTCATAACTTAAGATGAAACCTCCATATTGACATTGTATTTCGCTTAACTCTAATAAAGCAAAAGCGTAATCTCTATAATATTTGGTCTCTTTTGCAACCTCACAAATAATTTTGAGATGTTCAACTGTCGTTTCTAAAATAAATCTTGTGAACTTGATCCAAGCGTTACGGGTATTGATAGATTGCAGTGTAGTTTTGTCACGAATTGATTGTAAATATATTAGATTAATGTTTTCATTTAGTGCCAAATCCAATGCATGAACAACGTGTTTTGCTTCCATGAACATTGCTTTTTGAATATGTACGACCTCAAAAAATGCTTTGACATAGATTCCATGACTAACAACAGGCAAAGGAATACCAACTTGTTGAAGACATTCCCTTTGTAAAGCTAATTGATGCATGGAACTCTTTCCAGACAAATTAAGGGACTCCATTTGCTCGACAAGTTTCAATACATCGATGTTTTCTGTTTCCGCAGCTGATCTTACATGATACAAGTTTACAACAGCCGCATCGAATGCACGTTTGTATGGAGGATCCTTGGTGCCCGTCATGATTAAGAATATCTCTCGATAACAGCCAATCAAACGAAAAACTTGATTTGCCCAAAGTGTTTCATGGACTTTGGAAATATCATGTTGTACCACCTCTGCGAATTGCTGTACCGGCGTAAGCTCAGGAACTTTTGTATTCGATGCTTGAGATTTATAATATTCTTTTCCTATTGACTTCTCTTTTGCAGACTTTACAATTTTATCAATAAATTGGTCCCTTTTATTTTCTAATTCCTTAACTGTTTTTTCTAATGAATCTCGGGCATTTTTTAATGATCTAGTATATTTTTGTAGGAATTTCATTTTTGCTGCATCAAGCATTATTTTCTTACTAACACGTCCATAACGACGGACATTGCTAATTGGATGTCTGCAGTTAGGACAACTTTTAACTTTTGACATTTCTTCTGGAGGAATCTTTAATCCAATCCATGTTGTTTCATGTCTAACATAATATTTGTCAAGTTCCATAAGTGAATCCATTGATTCCATAGTGAAACAATGACCACATTCCAGGACAATCAATCTATGTACTTCCCAGTCCACCTCCTTAAATGATTCTTGCAAATAAATATCGACAACTTGCGATTTAATTTCGTCATTCGCACATAATACACAATATTTTTGTGGAGGACCTACATTATAAAAATTTTAGGAAGTGATCTAATATTTTCAAACATCATTAGCTATTAAAATATACAATACATTCTTCGCCACAGACACTAGCACAGCGATGCCCTAGAATTTTAAAAGTTAATTCACGAATAATGATAAACAAATCAATCTTGAATATGAATACATACCACAAGGCAATAACTAGATTCGTAATAATAAATAAGAAATAAAATAATATTAGAATAAATTTTTATGAGAATGGATTGTTCCAATAAAGGAAACAATAATCACAACCTTTTGACACTGTAAATCACAAGGCAAGCGACTACAAGGAGCACCGCAAGAAAGCGCACATCCACCTATTTAGTAATCAATATTCTTTTTGATTAAAAAAAATCATTTAAAAAACCCGAAAAGCACAAATTAGAAAGCCAACCTTGATGTTCACAAACCCAATAACATTGTTCGGCACATGCACCACCTATAAATATCATATTTATATTATAGATTTAATAATAAAAATAGAAATAACGTTGTTACTTACATGGCTCACTGCAATTCAACATGCATTTTGAATGGCGACATGCGGCCGAGCAATTTTCTTTACAAGGTGGACATGCTCCCTTATGACACTTTTATACACAACAGTCAACACAAAATTTATTATATAATTCAAAATTAATTGAAATAATAACTTGAACATACCGAAGATGCGCAAGCATGACCACAAAAAAGAATTCGTCCACATCGTTGTATACATTTCAGGTGATTAGTTCTCATGACATGGCCTTGTTGGTCCAGTTTCGGCTCCTTGTTGTTTGCTGCAATTGACCTCTTTTGACACTCACAACACTTATTTTTGCCTGTAAATTTGTTTTTTTTTAAAAAAAAATATTTACATATATATATAATAAGATACTAGTAAAAATTCTTTTTTAAAAATAAATAAACCATAATTTACATGAATGTCCACAGCCTTCCAATATGATACCACATTCATGATCACAACGTAATGAACCAATAGATGAACTGCAATGTACACTGTTGGAACCAAAAATAATTAGTCTTTTATCTTTAAATTTATTTTAAGAGGAGGATTGAGGAGGATTAAAAGTAATTACTTGAGTTCATGACCACAAGTTGGTAAAATACGAGTTACCGTGGCATAACACATGATAGATTTGGGATCCTGAGACTGATAACATTTCGGTGAGGTAAAATAATGTCCTAAATTTTTATAATATTAGTTACAGTTAATTGCCTAAATAGTAATAATTATATGGAGATGAAAGGGGAAAAAAATACCGCAAGACAATAATATATCTTCTACAATGATTTGGCATTCACCGCATGGATCTCCACACTATATAACATTAAACAAATTAGAATCTTTTAAAAGATAATCATAAAAAAATTATAATATGAGATACCGGTAATGGGCAAACGTGGTTACAACTATCGTGTAATCTTAAACATGGACGTATACAAGATTTTGCCGCTCCAATATGATCCGGATCATCAGGATGACACTTATATGCTAACAACGAAGTGGAATTAACATATTATTTATACACGTAAAAATGTTGATAAGTATGATCCAAAAACATACAACATATGTGTCCACTATGAATAAAATAAATAATATTAAGAAATTTATTTAATTAGTAAAAGTTCATTCATAAAATAACAAGATTTTAAAATCATTATTAAAAATATACCAAGGCATACGATAACGACAAGGTGACTGAAATCAAATTAGAAATTAGAACCGAAAAGTACGAAAGTTTTGTTAGCAAACATACCTATGTCTAATCGATAATAATCTGAAAAAAAAAAATCTCACATTGCAACCGCCATCAGGTGACAATTCTCGGAATTGCTTAGGACTGCTGATATCGTTTATAATGTCTGGATGTGATTCACATAGGATTGGGAATGTTCGTCCAACTTGACCTCTATAATAATAACAAATTCATTTAATTTTCTACATCGGTAAAAATTTAATAAATGAAAGTATTACCTTTCACGCATTAAACCGATTACAGACTTCCACATATCCGAACGTTCAGATAACAAATCCGCATTACCTATATTGCAGATAAAATAACGTTTGAAAGTTGAAATTGGAAATATTGTTTTTTGATTTTTTTAGACATACCTAACATAAACATTCCATGTTTGGCACGAGATAAGAGGACATTTGTTCTGTTTGATGACTTTAGAAACCCGATACCTCCATGGTTACAACTTGTCGTATTTCGAACTAAGGATACGATAACTATTGTCGCTTCTTCTCCTTGGAAGTTATCCACAGTCTTTAATATAACTAAAAATATCCAATTAGTTATTAATAAAACATTGAACCATGCAAAATTAATCAGATATTTTCTCACCTTGGCGTTGTAATGAACGTTTCTCGGCAATTGTCACCGTTCCGTTAGGATTTTCATATTCCGGATCTGCTTCACCAAGAAGTTCTTCAATATCTTGGTTATCTCTTTCATCGATTACTAAATAATGAAAGGTTGTTAAAATTTTAAAATATGAAATTTAATATTTATAAATAAATGATTATGATTATGAAGACATACCAACAACAAATGATTCACGTAAGGCATCTCTTAACTTGATTAATTGTCCAAGGTATGGAGTTAAAACAGCAATATCATTCGGTTTATCGTAACCCTAAACAAAGAAAAAGTATATCATGATTAAATCATGATTAAATAAATATTAAAGTTCTAACAATACAGAACCCTGTAAGCTTACATTGCGAACAAAGTATCGAATTAGTTCAACGACAAATTCTACTTCAAATGTATTTGAGTGAGATTGAAGTGCAAATTGGTTGGATCCAGCAGCATCTTCAGAATGTCTATGATCAATGAAAAAAAGGTTATGTGGAGTTCCCCGAACTTTAGGATACTCTCTTGTATTTGTACCTAAAATCAATGAGAAAATTAGATATATTTTTTACAATGATCAAATAGCCATAAAGGGTCTTAATTACTTACCATCGGTAAGTTTTGGATACAAGGTTCCTCTAATTAAATCCGCAATTTCTGGTCTCATTCTTCTTTGAATAGTTAATTGTGACATAGTAACACCTTCGTTTACTAAATATTACAATTATAATGAATTATTTAAATAAACATAAATATAAAAAATTACGTGTCGTTTAAAGGAAAACAACATTACCTAAACGTTCAAACAATGACCTATCTAACATGAAATACTTTCCAGGTTGACTATCCACAGATAATGTATATGTAGCAATATGCGGACGTAATTGCAAATGATCACCTAATATTTACAAAGTTGTTAAAATGTTATTTAAAAGAAAAAAATTATTGAAGAGAGATTTTAATACCAATTAGGATCAAATGCTGCGTAGAAGGTGTTAATGAACTTAATATGTGGGCTTCTAAAACTTCTCCTGCTTCTTCTACTACAATAATCTATAGAAATAATAATTTTTGATTAAGAAATGTGAATCCATTTAGAATGATAAATAAAACCACTTACGCGTGGAGCTACAGAACGAATTAAAGATTGATATTTTGCGGCTCCACTTGTCGTTAATCCAATAACTTGACAATTTTCTAGAATTTCTCGACGACCTTCATCATTAATGTCTTCAATTTCTTTTCTTTTTGCGGTGTGCTAAAAGAAGATATTAAGTGTTAATGTAAAGTGTTAACTTAAAATTCTTTTTGCCAAGTACCTTCATTTCAAGATCTGCAAGATCAATAATAACTTCTTTACGAATGGCCTCACGGAGATGATCGTGTACTCGCTTACGTTCAACTTTAGACATATTCCATACATCTGTGTCCTCAAGTAATGTTTCTAAATCTCGATCCTAAGAAAATTTAATTTAATGAGTCTTTAACAATCTAATCATGATATAATTAAAAGATTTAAATTAATAAACACCCCATCTGGAATAACCAACTTCTGAAGCCAATATTCGGTTTCGTCGGTTTCGTCGTTTTTTATGTTATTGGTACCATTATTTTGTATAATTTTTTGCGATTCTTCGTAATTGAACGCATCTTCTGAACTTTCTTCTTCGCTTTCATCGCCACCTTCGACAGACTCATCGTCCCGAGGTACATTCTTAAGAAATTCATACATATTATTAGGTCTTTCGTTTTGATCGTCTCTTCCTTTTCCTTTTTTTGAAATATTTTTTTCAATTGCATTTTGATTGCGATAAATTGCTTGAACCAATTGTTCCCGTCGTCTAAAATAAATGAATTTGTAAAATAAAAATAAATAGTTCAATAATATGCAACAAAGTAATTTACCGAATATCAACGCCATTAATCCACTGATCCCATATCGATTGATTTTTCAGTTTCTCTTCACCAACAATTGTCCATTCATCGCCATTCTTATCCGTTTCATCTGGAAGCATATTGCTCTCTTCATTTTCGATATTTAATAAAAGATCTGGAAAATCTGTTCCATTATCGGTGAATTGCAAATAATAAGCCATATATTCAGCCAATAGATAATTCTTAACATCATTCCATGTCATCAACTCTCTAGAAAGTTTGTCTTGTAAATTTATTGCTTCATTTTTGATTTCATCAAGTTCTTCATAAGCTTCATATAACATGAACCCTCGATGTGAAACCTTAGGACGACTACGAGAAATTTGCTCTAAATTAAACTCTTTTATTCTATCGGATTTACTTCTAGAACCCAAACGAACAATCTTGGTAATATTATTATCAAGTAGACACTCAAGAAATTGATCCAATGCATGATTTGTATAACAGATGGTAAGAATTGGCCCAATTGCAGTAGCTTTTCGATTTTTTTCGGAAAGTAAGACTTTCACTAATTCAATACCGACATATGTTTTTCCAGTTCCCGGTGGACCTTTAATTGAAAATTTACGAAATTTTCAATTAATATAAGGGAATCAATTGAATATCGTGAGAAGATACTTCATGCCTATTACCTTCAATTAAAGCGATTTCTCTAGACAAAGCGTCAACCAATGATTTAGCTTGTGTTTCATCAAAAACACTAATATTTGGCGTTGCTAACTTTCTAATTGCGTTTTCTCTTGATATCTCATCTTGTACATTTAATAATAAGGAATCATAAGGATCTTTTAATAATATTGATAAATCAAAATGAAACCTAGGAGCTCTCGTATATAATGGAGTTTCAACTTGAATATTTCGATCGCCGCCTTCGAGTGATGACACCAAATATTGTCGAAATGGAACTTCTGAAGGATTAGTAACTCGTAATGTTTTTAATATATGGTTATAAGATTCGAAATATACTCCTGTAGATTCAACCATAAATCGTTTAGGACGAGAAGGATGATCTCTTCCCATTGAAATATCTTCTAAAACAATAGGATAAATTGAAGATTCGATGAAATGAATATCAATCATGGCTTCGGTTTCAAATCGGGATAGACGTTTCTCATTCTTTTCAACAACTACTCCAAAATAAAGGGAATAGGTTTGCGATGAATTTGCGTCGCTATCCTCGTTTACTTTATTTTGCCAGAGGACACAAATTAAACTACCACTCATCAATTTTCTTGATCGTTCCCAATAATGGAGACGATGTTTTTCATCTTTGGCTGATTTTATCTTTGGTGGACTGAAATAAATTTTTTTAAAAAAAGTTTAACTGTATGTGTATATATATATATAATATAAAAAATAATAATAATTTTCATACGTGAATGCAACACGAGAAATAAATCCACGGTATCGATTTACGTTAATAGAAACAAATCTGATGTTTGTATAGACATTAAGATCTCCACTTATATCACCCTTATCGTATCGGAATCTACCACCTTCTTCACGTAACTTTTTAAATTGAACCTTGTTTTTATCTAAGTCTGTCAAAAAACGTGAAATACCCAATCTGATCGGATTAAGCATATCTTCTCTCAACAATCTGAATTGCATATCAAGAAGACGTGCAATCCCATCAGGCAAAAATTCTGAAGGACCTAACATAAATGAAGGCAAAGATGGCTCACGTGATGCCAAAATTTCATCTTTTGTTGGAATTATTGATATTTTGCATATTTCAAGAAAATCGTTATCGTGCCTAGGGCCAAGTCTAGATAATTCGCCTTTCATTCGAAATAATTATAATAAAATATACAAAAAGTTATAATAATTGATTTAAAAGTAGAATTATTAGACACTTTAAACTAACCAGGTGGATCGTATAACCTTTCAAATTCATTCATTCTCGCAAATTCACGGCTTTGAGCGACAAGTTCAGAAGGTACAGTATTATTGACTTCATTTCTCGCTGCGGCAATAGATTTACGCCCATCTGACAAAATATAATCGAGTTTTTTCATTTCATGATCTAAAATTTCAAAATAATATCGCCTCTTTTCAAGATCCGAGACCAATGCGTCTTCAGATTGAACTTTCAATTGACGTTCAGCCATCAAAGAATCTTTCCACGCATTTGACGCACTTTGAAGACGATGCACAATTTTGTGAATAGTATCATTAACAGAAGCTTCTTTAATTCGACTAAGTAACTCATTTAAAAAACGCGCAAGTGTCAAGAATGGTTGACCAAATGTTGAAGGAATAAAAATATTAGGATCTTTGTTTAACAATCTTTCCTTATCACTTCTATCTTGAAGTGAATTTCTTCTAACTAATTCATCCAAACATTTCATAATATTATCATGAAAGAATGTATCAATATAGGTATAAACAACCGAATATATAGTGTTAACTTGTTTTTCCAAAGTCGAACCGCGTACCTTCATTTGTTTTAGATTAAGATTAAGTCAAACGATTAATTAAAAAATAAAAAGAATGAAGGGGATATAACTAATTAAAAAATACCCCATGACGGATCAATAATGCAAGAAAGGGAATAATAACACTTTGAAATGAAGCAGTATCTTTTTTGGATCCAGCATCAACAGATATTTTGTACTAAACAGGTAACCAATTTATTAATTTGAAGAAATTTTTTAGTTACATTTAAATGAATTAATTACTTATTTATTGATTTATTTATTTCTTAAATAAATAAAATACCTGACAAATCTCTCTTAATCGAAGAATGCCCAAATTAGGATTTCCTAATTGTTCTACGAGAGTTTCAACTGCCACACCAGTCTGTTTATCAGCATCCAACAAACATGACGTGAGAAAATATTTAATTATTCGTTGATCGCGAAATTCTTTTCTGATCAAGTTACGCCACGCGCCCTCCAAATTATTACTAGAAACGAAAATAAGCTTGTCACTTCCGTCATATGAAAGTGCAGAGGATTGTAAATTTTCCAATAGAACGTTATGTTGTCTAGCGTTGACTCGTTCTATTTCTTCGTTAGATACTCCGATATCATGTACACGACCACGCCCTCCGCCGCCTCGAGGAGAATTACCATTATTTCGTGGTGAATTATTACTCCAAAGTTCAAAATTGACATTAGGATTACTTTGAGATCCTTCGCCAGTACTTTTACCTTTTTTCTTTTTAGAAGGCGACATAATATCGAAAACAAAACTTTTTTTTTATACACAATAAAATATAAAGCTTAAAGGGTTAAGGGTTGAATTATTGAATCAAATGGCTTGTATCACAAGATTCCACATGCAGAATTGACCTCATGTCAAAATGTCAAATGTATACTTAGTCTGTGTTGCAATTTTTTGCTTATCAATACAGTTTGCTTATCAATGAAAATCATATAAAAATTCAAATTCGTAAATCGTAAATCGTAAATCGTAAACTCTCCTTCTAAGTAGGGATGGGATGGTCATGGTCGATTAACTCGTTAACTGTTGATCGACCGGCCCATTTAATAATAATGTAATTTAAAGTTCTTGATTGATAATTTTAATTTATTGCTTTAAATAATTCTATGGCATTTGCGATTTTTTATATATTTTACTTAATAAGTTTACTTTCATATTTAGTGATGCTGCATTATCGCGACCTTTTTTTTAAAAATAAATAAAAATTTTTGGAATACTAATTAAAAAATGTTTGATCAACCGGTCAGTCAAAATCGACCGATAACCATTAATACCAAGCAACTAAGAAATCATCTCATCAGACACCAGTTAAAGCAAGGAAAAATTACCAAAACGTCACTCACCTTTACTACATATCTTCCATTTTTTCCAGAGTTGGTTTTTTCAAAGATATGGATAATACCACCAAAACCATCACTACCATTGTACTTAGGTCTATAGTGTCAAGCAAAAAGAGGACCTTAAGTGGTAGAATAAAATCCTCAGCTCCTGATTTCCAACCTATAAACTCATCAGTGACATTAGCTTGGTATTAACTTCAAATGATCAGAACTTAAGATTTTATTGAAATGGTTATTAAGTTGCAAAAATTGAGATTACTCATCATAATTAACTCTGTCAGTTTGCTTTTATTATGATCCAATATATACTCCCATTCCATACTAATCCTAATAAAAATATAAAATCTTTTTTTTATAATTATCTTGAAATCTAGCAATCTGATTTGAAGTTTATTTTTTTTATTTAAAAGAAGACATTAAGAGTTACACAACAAAAATATTTATTAAAATTAGATTTGAATCTATCAGATCAAGTCAAGTTAAATCTGAATTAGATTAATCTAATCTGATTTGTGTAAAATCCTAAATATGATCTCTAATGAATATAAACTTTTTCAAGATATCCTTATAATCAATACTATCTTCATCTATTAAATGATAAAGAACAAAAAGTGAAAGATAATAAAAATGATAAAAATATAAAGCAAAAAAAAAGAAAACTAAAATAATAGTAAATTAAACATTATTAATCAAAATATATTTCAGAAAATAATCTTAAAAAAATTACTTGAAGTAATGAGATATGTTTATAATGTTATTATTAGATAGGATAAAAATTATATAAAATCTTAAATAACTTAAATTATATATAGCTTAATAAGAGATCATAAAATATATATATTTTCAAATAGTTATATGATATAGAATTAAGATTCAAAAATTTACATGATAAACATGATAAAGTATTTGCAAATATAATTGATAGTATTGATAAAGTTTTGTTAATTAGAAAATATATTATACAAAAAAATTTAAAAAACTGCTAAATAATATTTATTATTATTTATATCTAATAAGATTTATATTAAACCATAATTATTTGTATAATAAATTTTTCAATAAAGGAATAAAACTATTTTTATATTAAAATTCTTTACAATTCTTTTATTTTATTATTAAAATAATGAATTTAAAGATAGAAAATACAATTTGTGTTCATTTTATTTTGAAATAAAGAGAAAGTTTAATAAATAGTATTACAAAAATAAATAGATGATGATTGTAAATTTTAATATATATAATAAACAAATAAATAAATATTTCATTAGATATATAAATACAAAAATAGGTTTGTGAAATACAAGCAAAAGTTTGTATTATTTTAATTGATCAAGAAGTTTATACTTTATTCATATGATATTTCTCAATAAAAGGTATAAATAAAAGATGAGAAACAAACTCAAAAAAGCTATTAATAAATAGCCGAAATTGTATTAAAACATAGTAAGGGGTATGACTATACATGAAGTCGAAATGAAAACCCAAAAAGTCGAAATGTTTCGACTTTGGAGGTCAAAGTCAAAATGAAAAGTCGAAATGGTCAAAATTACGTCATATCACA